TAAAAGGAAGATAATAAAGCTGAACCACTCATGAGGGAACATCAATAATAATCAAATCAAGGTCAATGTTTTGGAAAAAAAAAACCCACATGGTCATCTTCAGCCTTTGCCGCAACCTGATGCTCTTCAGAATCCACTGTAGACTGACCAGGTGATTTGAGCGATGAACTGAACCAACATCTATTGTTTTCTTTTCACACTTTATAGACATTAGTGTATACCTGCCAGGTGACGGTGACCTGAACGCTGTCTTCGGGCCCAGAGGTGACTGATCAGGAGGCCTTGTTGGAGGTAACCGTCCTGACAAGCGAGACGTTGCCTAAACCAAAATCACCTAGAGACAGGCCATACAATGCCCGGGAAAATTTGAAGTGCTTACGCCATCGCTCCTATTCTGATCAGCCTTTTTCAGATAATCTATACATATGGTCGCGTACAATTCTCGGAACTCTTTCTCCTCTTCATCATATTCGATCTAAAAGAACTCTGAAGGTATGCAGTCAATGCTTTGAAAAATGAAAGGAAAAAGTGCGAGAAATTCCCAAAAAAATATTCGAGAACTCACTGCCTCATCCTCTCTTACGACATCATCATGCATTTTTTCATATTGCTCATCGCTAAGAGTATCGCGCATTGCTTGTAGATTCGCTATGCGCTCCATCTGAAATTATATCCTTCATTGAACTCGTGCCACCTAGAAACTGTGACCCCACCCAATAACGGATTTTCACATTCTGCAGCTCCTCATATTGCTCTGCATCTTTCTTATCCTAAATGAAAAATTGATAGTAAAAAAATAGATAGCTAGATATGACGGGACCTCCATACCTCTTCCCAGAAATGAGCTAACCATGCCTCCACCACCGCCATTCTACTATATTCTGCTCCAGTCGGTACATCAGTTGGGCAAGGTTCGGACATTACCCGATCGAATTCAGCTTTGCACATCTTGAAAATCAAAGCCGAGATTTATATGAAGCAAACATTCGAATCTTACAGAAACAAAAATTACCTCAGGAGTGAAGAATCCCTTAGGACGACCTTCGACGCGTTGCCTCCTAGTAGCATCCATCTCTTCGGCGGCGCGAACATGCCTATAGAAGTACAAATTAGAAAGATTAGTCTACATGGTCCACGCTCAGTAACTTTTAATTCATCCAAGATGCTCAAACACGCTATAGATGGATGTACAACAAAAACCTATAAG